CCAAGATATTCTTGGATACTCCAAGGCTGGTGTGGAGACTCTTGTGCATGTGGGGGATAGGATTGGTGTCGCGGGATCGGCTTGATAACTCTAACAATAAGAAAGAAATTAAAGAGAATAAGTGTTGCGTTGTAGACTTCGACGTAGCTGTGAATGAAATGCGTTCTGTGTGTGATATGTACTCTCTCGACATTATGACAATGGAATATCTCAATGAGTTCGAGGTGGAAGCAAAAAATACAAAGATGGCGATGAGGAGAAAATGCCTCGGTCATTCTACCACTGCCGTTCTTTCTTATCCATTACATAATCAACGGGACCTTTGGTGCGTGCTTGATAATTCCACTCGTCCTCGTTGCGCAAACAGCGCAAAGTGTCCCGTTTCCAGCGACTGAAAAAGATGCGCGTCCATCGGGGAGGTGGACCAGATTTGTTGATATTTTTGTCGACCTCCGTGAAGATCCAGTCCACCACCACATGAAAATTCTCCATCTCCCCAAGACATGCGTACGCACCGTAGGCATCGTCGAACCACCATGCGATCGTTGCATCGCGCTTACGGCGTCTTGCAAGAAGCTTGGCTCTGCCGAAATTGAGGAAGACAAAATGCTCTTCACCGTCTTGTTGCCGTACGATGACATTGTTACGGTGCAGGTCGCGATGGCACATACCAAGCTCGTGTATCTCGTCGAGACTGGTCAGGAAATCGGACATCTTGTATGCGTCAGAAGACACAGAGAACAGAATGAAAGTTGCTAGGGAGGGACGTACCTTCTTCTGCGCGCCAGGAGTGCGCGAGAGAGGAACGCCGTGTACGTATTCCATGAGATGTCCGTGAAAAAAATCGACCATCTCTGAGATAGAACTAAACGCAGTGAGTCCTCGCAATTGATGATCAACAGCACGCCACACGCATATCATAAAAGCCATAAGACTTAGGCACAAGAGTGCCTTGGAGTGTCTCCAACCTGGCATATGCCCATGCTTCGCGAACGTAGGCATCTTGGTCCATTGTGTCATCAGGGCTGGGATGATAATGTTTCACAAGTAGTTCTTCCTCTGTCGAGTCGGTTGGACCATAGAGGTTGGCACGCCAAACCGTGGCGCGATTTCCAAAGTGTAGTGGCTCCAGTAGCATGACTGTACGACCGGAGAGCGGGGATGGCAGAGGTACGACAGCATCGTCGAAATAATCCCATCGCTCACACGGCACAGACGTAAGCTTGAGAAACTTGTATGCCAATCCTTTTGTGTAATCATCCAAGTCGGCGGTAGACATATCAGAGCAACTGATGTTGGGTGAAAGTAAACAGAGTCAGTGAAGCCGACTGTAGGGGCTCGTCCCACCAGTTTCTCCTCACACAGTGTTCTGCTCTCTGGGGCTTCAGTGCTCGCAGGACAACAGTGGTGTCCCAGAAACTGGATACAAATGTGCCGGTGGACAAGGCAGGTATCACACAAATTTTGCGCCAGGCGGGTCAACGAACCCTAAATGATTAGTCAGCCTACCATAAGTAGGCAATATCTTTGTGGGAGATCCACCTCATAGTATGGTTGCTCAAATGTGACAGAACTCTCCTTCCTCTGGTACGGCAGTGTACCCACTGGTACAGAGGGTATACTCCTGTAATTCTGTCATCATGCAACACTTCCCCTTCCAGCCACATGCAACGTAATGCTCCCCACTAGGAATTCCCCTACCATCCCCACCAGTCTTGTACCCTCCAGTACCCATTGTCTCAACATTGTCTCATCTGGACCCTGTGCTTTCCTCTCTCAGTGCTGGTTTGCATTGTGTACATCCACACATCCAACACATGATGTTTTCCCACCATCCATTGCCTCTTGAGCCTTTCCTTGCTTATGGTGTCCCCCCTTCCTATATGTCTTCCCTTGTTACCTCCTCACTTCTTGGTATGCCTAATTTTCTTGTTGTGCCCCCCCCCCCCCCATTCCTGGTTCAATTGCTGTCCCCCTTCCTTCCTGCAGCTGCTCACCTTAAAATCCCATCAGTTGCTTTCCCCCTCATTTCATTTCACCCTTATTCTGTCCCCTCACATTTAACCCAAACCCTTCCACAATTGTCCTGTACGTCGCTTCACCATTCTGTTAGGGCAACACAGGCTGACTAAGTCTGCTCACCTATGAGTGCCAAGAGTCTAAGCAGGCAACAAGGAAGTGGAGTAGACCTGATGACTAAGACCTATCTACAGTATAGGTACCTGTGGATGATCCTAAGAGACCAAGTCTGAAGAGACAGTCCCAGGCAGAGTAGGCCTTATATTTATACCTCTGTGGTGGAACCTGCTAGGACATCTTGCTTACTCAGCCTAGTCAGGTGATCAGGTCATATGACCAAGGATGAGGTCATATGAGGTCATGCACAGCCATGCACAGCAGGTCAC